CAGACAAACTTAAGTAAGAAAGGGATCGCTGAGGACAGCCACTGAGACTTGCCAAAACATAGACTCTGTTAGCCCTGTGACAAGCATGGAAAGAATCATGATATACACTGAAACTACCCTGGTGACTCAATAGTCGGAGCAGCAGCATGAAGATGTTTCTCTAAGGTAGGAATCCACACTGAGTAGACACCGTGTATCTGTTTTGCAAAATCATTTGGTGTCATCTGCCTTTGTCTGTGTATTATTAGCTTGATATAATTTGTTTAGGACAGATTTTTTTCAGTTTTAGCTGATTGTTCTGCTCAGGCAAAAGGCAGTTCTTTTCAGATGGGGCATTTCAACAAGCCTGTACAATAGCAACAGTTCTCCGTAGCATTCTTATCATAAAAAGAAAATCCAATGGCTGGAGAAAATGGAAAAAACCTGGATTACACCATTGAGTACTGCACTTTGTGTCATGCCAGAGAAAAGATAACTCCCAATTATACACCTGAAGTGTAAGCTTCATTTATACCAGGTTAATATAATAGCATGTAGAATCAAGTAGCCCTTATGAATTTATTCTCTTAGGGCAACTTCCAAATCCAGTTGGATTTGTCCTTGCTGGCAGTAATAATAATAATAGTGATCATAACAAAGGAAAGAAAGCAAATATTCAGTCGTGTCTTAATTATATCCAAAACAAAGGCTTTCTCTAGCTTCGATTGCATTGATTTGTTGAAAACTTTTTTTTTCAGAAAGCAATTCACTTCTCCAGCTTTTGTAGAAAGGCTTTCAGTGCCTGGTTATTAAAAGGCCTGCTTATAGCTGTGGTGGCCAATGCTTGAGCACTGTACAAATAATCCATTTAAAGATCAACCTCAAAATTCTTGTTCCCTGATTCTCACCCTGCTGGAATGTAGCAGGAGTCCATTTATCACCGTAGGAATGCAATGAGTGGTGAAAACCCTTCATAAATTCACTTTACTTTCAAATATGAGGGTATTCTTATATCCTCACTCAGACCAGGGATCAGCTGCCTGTGATCAGGCCTCTTTGATGACTTCATTTGACTACTAATCGATTTATAAACTAGCGCACATGAACTGACAGCCCTGCAATTTTGTCTCAGTAGTACAAATTCTCCTTTTATCTGTGTAAACATCTAATTCCGGATTATTCAAGGGAATTGTGGTGATGATAGTTGAAGACCTAACAGCCTGCAGGCAAAGGGAAGTTGCAGTTGGCTTTAGCTTTTGTACTCAGTGCATTTCACAACGAGACGTGAACAACCTAAAATTCCATTACATGTAGGGCCATGAATTCAAATGTCCAGTCACACTGAAGAGAAAGGCATCACACTGTTCAATCCAAAGATGCACCCACATGTTTCACCTTTAAGGTAATTTTTTTTCTGTTATTTCCCCAGCTCCCATGAATTTCCCAACCAGGAATGCATATTAAGGGACGATTACACAATGCATGGTGAAACTCCCTTTATTTATTTCACTTGTGTTGCTGCTGTTGTATAAGAAAGAGCAAAATAACAAAAAGAACAAAGTAAAATAAAATAGTAGCTGACCCAAACATTTTTAACATGTTGAAATCCCAAATGCAAAGACTTTCTTTCTTTCTTTCTTTCTTTCTTTCTTTCTTTCTTTCTTTCTTTCTTTCTTTCTTTCTTTCTTTCTTTCTTTCTTTCTTTCTTTCTTTCTTTCTTTCTTTCTTTCTTTCTTTTCTTTGCATTGATTTGCACAAGCATTTTCTCTGTGAGCCAAATACATCTCTGGTATAACTTCATTGAAGTCACTGGACTTACACCAGAGGTGGTTTTGGTCCTCTGTCCTGGGTAAATACAGTAGGAATAAATTGGTCACGCAGGCAGAGTGTCTGGCAATAAGTGCACTGAGTGGTCCTGGCAAACCAATAGGAAAGATCTAAAATAAAAATCCCAAACAGGTCTTTTATTTAACATAGGGCCTAAGAATCTACTGGGAGCTGCTGAATACTGCCCACTAACTGTACAAAGTATAGGTAGCATGCCTTCCAAATATCAAAATACCAGACGGAATGCTGTGAAAATAAATAACTTCTAATATAAACAAATGAGAACATATCAAACTGTTACCTCTTTAAACATAATGTAAATAAAAAAAATACCAGTCCTTCTACACAATAAATATTAAGAAACCATTGACATAGTTGAAATGTACTCATATAAATTAACAACTTTAATTACATTAGCCAAACAGACATTGGTTAAAGCACTGCATGTAGTATGCAAAATAATAATAATAACAATAATAATAATAATATCAACAACAAAACACAAAATGATAAAAACAAAATAGGCTTCATAATATCTTGGCTTTCATAATTTATATATATGTATATACATATATATAGTTGTGTGTGTATATATATACTGTAGATATATATATAATATGTATATATACATACATATATATATCTTCAACCCATCGTCAATGTATTGTTTTTGAAAGTATTTAAATACAAATAAACCCATTGAGAATTAACACAGATTCACTATATCTCAAAAAATAAATAGCTATATAACCCAGAAGTGTTGTTTGTTTCTGCCCATGAAAAATGTTGCTTATAGTTGTTCATGAAAGGTCAAATTATGATTTTATTTACTCGGACTGAAAAACCTTTTTACTCCACATATAATGCAGTGAGAGCAGATGGGGAGTAAAGTTTTTTTTCAGTGTAAGGAAAGTGATTAGCATCTGATTCTTATACTGATGCACACTATTGACATGAGGTTTAACTTAAAGAACTTAATCATTTCCATCATATCTCTTCTACCTACACTCCCGAAATAGATTTTGCTCGCTTTATTGATGCTGACTGGTAACTTTCTAGGAAAGGAGACCCTCTGAAATCAACAGCATTGCTTACAGAGTAAGGCACTATTCCACACGAGTATCTATAATCCATAAAAATTTTCATTTTGCACATAGACTTTACAGATGCCTGAACTTCTCTGCCTCAGAGATATTGCTGCTAGCCTCTACATGGCCTTGTGGTGTCACAGTTAAATGAACTTGATGGCTTAAATCTTAAGTAACTACAAAAAAAAAAAAAAAAAAAAAAAAAAAATGATTTGGTAAGAGACTGTTTCTGTTGAAGTCAATGACAAAACTCCCATTTTATTCGGTTCTACAGTTTTGGGCCCTCGATCATATTCTGCTGCGACATGAGTGCAGGATAATTATAAGCATCTGTAAGCATTTCCTTTCGCTAAACCCCAAGAATACAAATACATTCAGCCCTCCCAAAGAAACAACTTAACGTGCACTTCTGCCAGTTTCTTAGGCCTTTTATCCAGTGAGCATCTGACATGGAGAGGGTGAAAGACAACTAAATGTGGTCAACTGTGAAGCAAGAAGATTGTGGAGGTACTAAACAAATACATTTCTGTGATTAGATGTATACTGAAAATACATTTTCAATATAAGCAGGAAGTAGGTTATATGGAAAGGAATGTGTTAGTAGTTAAAAGCCTCTTTTTTTGGTATAGTCATACCTGAAAGGAGAAGTAATTTTTGAGACCGCATGCCCCTGAACAACTGTTTAAATATGGTAACAATTTCTAATGCTATTTTAAGTACATGCAGATTTAATTAAATCAAATTATCGGGGATTGGGTGTTTTGCTGGAATCAGTCAGTCTTGATTAACATCCCGATTTCTTATTTTATTTTATCATATAGTTTTTCATTTCCCCTACTTTAAATAACTCTGACCACAAATCAAAACCCCATGACTGAATCTAGAGATCGGAGGGAGAAAACCTTTAAAATTTGTGACTAGTATACACACACACAAATGAAAGCTAAAAAGCAGGGCTTAGGAACAGTTCCTTCTTGATTTGAAAACCTTCTTCTGGTTTTGGTGTATCCATCATGAAATATGCTCACCACATCTAAAATCCTATTTTCTTTACTCACTTGGAAGTTGTCTCAGGCTAGTTTCATGTTTTCCAGGGCCAGTCCCCATTCACCGCATAAATGGTCGTATCAAACTCAGCATCAGACTTCTTTTTAAAGGCTATTTCTGCTTTGGCAGAGCCTAAACCTACTCTGCTTGCAGCCAAATGGGAGTTTTGCCATTGTCATTTAAGGGAAGGTGCTGGGATTTCAGGTCTCCAATGCTCTCTAACTAATCACATTTGAGAACAGTTTTTATCAACGTGAGCCAATCTCACCTGCCACTACGTTCAGAGATCCACCATGATGCAAGCAGCCTGGTTTAAATAATTTAATTAAATAATGTTGGATATGTTGCCATTCATTCAAATCCTTTCTCTCCCTTGAACATTGCCCACAGCAAAAGGAACCTGTGATTCACCCTGGCTTACCTTTACTCATGTAAGTAGTTTTACTACTCTCGTGAGGAGACCAGTAGGCATCAAAGAGCCTACTGGCATGAGGAAAGGTTCTGGGACAATGTGCATCCAATTTTAAGGCCAAGTCTAAAACCCAGTGAAATAAAAGCTACTCTCCTCGACAACTCTCACAGACTATGTCCCTGCTCCTGCTCTTCCAGAACCTGGTTCTACTTCTAGAAAAAACAGCAGTAATTCTGCCACTTGCTTCAAAAGAAGCAGGGTCAGGAACTTGGTTTGTTTAAGTTATAAAGATAAATTAGTTGTGCATCTTTTATTTTTATTATTTTTTTAATTTTCATACTAGCATTTGGTATCCCTCCCTTTCCCCAGGAAGAAAACACAAAAAAAACAACAAACTTCTGCAAATAATTTAAGTCAGAAAGCCTTGATATTTTACAGAATACTTTAGTGACAAATTTAGTGTTTACCCAATTGTTTTAATTTTTTTAATTTTTTTTTTTTTTTTTTGCAAATTGCAAACAAGTCTGTAAAAAAATGCATTGTATAAAAAGTACATAAATGTATAACCCATTAGCTGTACTATGCAATCTAAATACTGTGGAATAAATTAGATAGAAAACTTAGCTATAAGCATGTATGTTGATATCTATTCAACAGAGGAAAGGGTTTTTTTTTTCCTTTTCTTTTTTTTTTCTTTTTTTCTTTTTTTTTTTTTTTTAAATCTCTATTGATACGTACAAATACAGACATGCGCCCATGCGTACATATGTATGCACACACAGAGAACACCCACGCACACGCACGCACACACACACACACACACACACACACAAACAGTTTTGGCTGACAAAAAATGAAGGCCCTGATTACACTGTTTAAACATGGTTCTCACCATGAAGGTGCTAACACACTATCCCTAGCCAATGTGACTGGGTTAAATTGTGCTATCTTTTTTTCTTTCTTTTTTTCTTTTTTCTTTTTTTTTTTTATTTTTTTTTACATTTTTTGACATACTGTGCTCTCAGCAAGGTGGGGAGCCACATTAGTGCTTCTTTCTGTGAGAGGCGTTTTGAAGCCTGCCCCATCAGAAGGCAGCTAACAGGGGCTTGGTCCTGCAAACCTGTGAGAGACTGAAGCTTCAGGCTCAGGGTTATCAAACTCAGTGTAAACAGGGCCTAAAGGTTTCTCCCCCTACCCAAAGACAAATGTTGGAACTTTAACATTCTTTTAAATATGACAGCGATAGAATTCTTTTTAAAAAAAACTATCTACCTATGCCCTACGGGTTGGACCCTTCAGGTTAGGTGTTGACACTGAAAATTAGGTCTTACAGGTAACGCGCAAACCCATTGAGAGTTGCCATGCTAGAGGGTGGTGGTTGAGGAGCCAGTCTTTTGCCGAAGACTGCATTTCAAACAGAAATCCTACCACAACTGCCATTTTATGTATATTTGCAGGGGCGGCAGTGGACAGGCCCAAAGCTGCTTGCAATTTTACATCAAGACTTTCTAAGTGTACACCAGCACTTTAGGTTTCTCTCACACAAATGCCATTTTGAACGTGTAGCCTCCCACTCGGTAGCCACAAACAAACAATCTTTTAACGCACTGTGCTTTGCACACAAACATTCATTGTTTTAAGAACATTAAAGTGAAGCCAGAAGTGCTTATACCTTGTGTATACATACATATATACATACAGAAATATATACATATATATATATATGTATATCCCTTGTATAAAGTTGTTTCCCAACAATGCACAGCTGCTGTGCACCAGGGACAAGTCTTAGTGTTGTACATGCAAAAGAGTACAATTATGCTTAGATGGACCTCAGATCCGAGCACCTTGGATCCAAATCCCAGGGCTTTTCTGGGTGTACTTCAAATGGCAATTTTCTGTTGAGGGCACTATTTAACTGGTTAACAGATATTCTAGCCTGAATGTAATCAACCCACTGACCCTTAATTCAAACCCTAACTTATTACAGGTGAATGGTACCAACCACAGACTTTTTAGAGGCTCGCACAAATGTCTTTGGTGTATGTGTCTATTCATTTTAAGGTACAAAATAATAATAATTATTATAATAATAAAAATAGCTATTTTGTGTGCTGTAGCAGTTCTTGTATAGCTCACAATAAGTGCAGCTCTCAACCCCTCCCACACCCAACCACCCTCCCTTGCAAATATTTGTTAAATAAGGATTAGACAGGTCAGACACCATTGTAGTGCAAATAGTAAACGATTAAAAATTTTTTTTTTACAAAATATAGAAATGTTTGGCTCCAGTAACTGGACAAACATGTTCCTTTCAAGTATCTCTCACTGAAGAATTTTTTTTAAAACAAGTTACTTCCATTTAAAAAAAAGTCTTTCTGTTTTGTTTTTTTTTTTTTCTTTCTCTTGCAGGTAAACAGTTTCAAACCAACTAGGTTGCATAGTTCTAACGTTGTAAGCACCTTTACAAAATGTAACTTTTATTCTTTCATTTGTTCTTTTTTTAATTATGTTTTTTCTTCATTTTTCTTTTTTCCTTTTTTCTTTCTTTTTTTTTTTTTTTTTGTAAATGTAGTGCAGAAGATGAAGGTGTATACACCTGCACAATATTGTCCCTTTACCAATGTTAAGTATATGTATGTGTATAGTGCCTGTATGTATAGAGATATGTATATAAATACATAGCCATATACATATACACACAAACACTACACACCTACTCAGTTCCTCGGTAAATTCTGGGGGAAAGTGCCAGTGAATGTAGTGTTCATACACATGGCTTTTCAAGGAATTTCAATGACATTTTGGACTTAGTCCAAATTGCTGCAGGTTAGATGAGCTGCTACCACGGCTTGAACTGATGGGTAACTAAGGGAGGGAACATAACTCCCCTAGTAATAACTAATGTTTAGTATACTATGTAATAAGATAAGGAGCATACTGAAAGGAAGGGGAAATCCCCAACCCATACCGCCATTCAGACGTATCTCATTCAAGCCCGGGTCCATGAAACTTTCTTCCTTTTTATAGCTGCAGTCTTTTCTGATCCTCCATAAGTCTTTTTTTTTTTTTTTTTTAAACACTTTTCTCTCTCTCTTTTGTTTTTGCTTTTATTTCCAATGATGTTTTCATTCAAAAAAAGGTTATACCATGTCTGGTCTTTCCTCTTCTTGGGCTTTTGATACATTTTCTTCTCAACTGAATGAGAAGGGTCTTGCGCACACATGTGTCTATGAACAGCCACACTCCTCCACAATCATATTCTGTATGTCTTTCTTAATGATGTTCTGGCCATCGTCGTAGTAGAGCATGGACATGGGCCGCAGCTTGGTGGGCACACAACATGACTTGAGGTTGGCAAAGGGGCTATGGCCCCGCATGCGGTAATGGTTGATGACGGTGGAGTGGAAAGATAACGATGAACCAGATGTGCCTGCTATATGGCTAGGGCACTCTCCTTCGCAGTAGTTGGCATGATAACCTGTAGGTGCAATGATCCAGTCACTCCATCCTATGTCCTTGAAGCTGACAAAGAACTGCTTCTTGCAGCAGATGTTGACTTTGCCATCACACTCCAGGCCTCGTCTCCGCCGCCTGTGCTGGCGGTCCTCTGAGTGACGGGCAAGCATCATCAGGAAGGGCCGATGCGATTGCTCTTTCTCCTCTTCTCCTGTGAATTCTCCAGCTTCCTTTTCTTTCCCTTCACCATCATCTTCCTTTTTCTTCTTCTTGCCCAGTAGCACCAGGCTGGCTCCAGTCTCTTGGCACAGGTCACAGGCAATCCGCACATCCAGAGAGCTCTTGCCTTGGTCCAGGAGTCTTTGGACGCTGCTGGAGACAGGAAAGATGTGCCAAGTGCTCTTACGGGTGTCCACTGCCTTTTCTGAAATCAAAGTCTCACTCTTTTCACCTTTCAGCCCCCCATCCTCCATATCTTCTTCTCCTTCAGAGTTGCCTTTTGGCTGTCGCTGCTGTTGAAACAGGCGGATGGTGACTTTTGTCCTGCTCCGGTTGGCCTTGGAGACCTTCAGGAAGAGCCACACTTCAGCATGTTCCACCACTGATAATTCACTGCCTTCCTTGGAAATCTCAAAGTGCAACATTTTCTTGGCTGTGCCTGATTTGGTAAATGGAAATAGACAGGAAGAACTTGTTAGTATGTCTGCTTGCATTCTGTTAAAGAGAATTCTATTACTGTCACCACAGGCATGAAGTTCTCTAGGTTTTCTACTTGGTTCTTTAAATTTTTATGTTTCTTCTCTTCTCACCTTCCTTCACCTCATCCCCCCTTAGTCTTTTGTGAAAATTCTCTCTTTAGAAAAGCATATCTTTGCCTGTTGTTTTCCAGTGTCGTATTTTAACCCAAGTATTTTGTTATAGTAATGATATAGCCATTTGTAAAGCATGTAAAGCATCTCATGGCAAGTAAGCATCAGTAGCTAAGAGTTCATTTGCTTAAACTGTCTTTGTGATCGCTGTTAGTTGAAAGGCAAAAATGCTTTTGTAACAACAGTCCATACGTACATACTGTATGTACCATAAGCATACAGATCTGTGTCTAATAACTGAAGTTAGGAAGTGAATTCCAGACCTGCCAATTCTTTGGAAATTACATGGGAACGAGGTCTGCCCTTTCTCCCTCTGTAAAATGCCATTCTTCATATGCATCTTAAAATGAGTTGTAAATGTCAATTGTTTCAAAAACAAAGAAATACTAAAATAATGAGCCTTGGCTTTGAGAGGTTTGCAGAGTTATATTGCAAAGAGTTGCAGAATTGCAGCAGGCAGTCTCTTCATCCTGTGAGATGTTAGCTGTAAATCCTGTTCTTAATTTAACACACTGTACTCGCTGTGATTATAGTAATGGTGAATACACTGAGAAGTGAGCTAAAGAACTGTATAATTATGGGGATGGTTCTCTGGCATAATTGTATCAACTTGCTGAGATGTCATGATGATGATTATGATGGTGAGGGGGTGTTTCTCTGATACAGAGCTCATATCCCTGGCAGAAGTTGGAATGAATAATAAGGGCTGTTTAATGATTTGATCACTAGAGCATGAAAAAGTTAAGAGAGAATGAATTAGCTGGGGGGTGGTGGTGGTATTATTTTTTTTAAGAGAGGTGCTTTTCTATTTTCTTGACAAAAGAAAAAGCCATGTTGGCATCTTTTGTTCTTTCTCAGCATGGAAGCCAGAATGGACTGGGGTCACAGATGTGAAATGTACAGATACCTGACCTTAGTGAGACAGAAACGGTATTCATAATTACCAGTATGTCATTGATATTATTCTTGTGCTACCCGCGGTTGTTGTCCCAATTCTCTGTGCAGTGGTTCTGCTCGTCAGAACCCTAAAAAGGTCAAGTGGTGATACAAACTAGAGTGGTTGGACGTGTACAGGAAAAATTGCTCTCATGGCAGCAAGGCTCTCCTCCTTGTTTCCCACTGCCACTGAACTCCACTAGTACGGGCTCCCTGACCATCTCCCTGCTCCCCTGTTCTCGAGTGAGACAGAGTGGGGCAAAATCACAAGTGACATCTATCCTGTATTCACTTGCAAACTCAAGAGTGCCTGGTTTCTCAAGTCTGTAGGCAGGCTGTGCTGCACTTTGAGCTACCTGTTGCTTTCCTTCTCTGTGAAGTCCTGGCACTGACACATTCAGCTTTCCCTGGTGGCATTCCCAGGTCAAAGAGACAGACGTTTCTGAATTACAGTGGCCAAAGGGCACAGCGTTTTGTTTTTGTTTTCCCTCTAAGTGAGAGTGTGAAACTGTAGACTTTAACTGTCACTGAGATAGGGAAACACATGGTTTGTGTTAACTGCTTCTCACTGACGTTGCTGATGCCAGTCTCCAAAGTGAGTTACATTAATTTCTCAGGGAACCACATGAACCAGTGGGACTCTGCCTTAGAAAAGTAAGGGGCTTATAGAAAAGAAAGAGCAAGTTCACCAGTTCTGTGAGGCATGGTGGAGTTAGTGGTTTTCTATTATTTTTTAAATAAGATGCATTCAAGAATGACTGAATGTTCATTTGTCAGCTCTTACCAGCTAACACTATTTTTTTCCATCCAGGTAATGAAACTGGCAAAGCTGCTAGCTGCGTTGGAGCAGAGGGCAGGTGATAGGCATTAGTCCCACTCCTGCCTGGGTTTCAGAGCGTGAGATGTACAATGACATCCCTTGAGTCTGAAGGAAGTCTGGTCCAAAAAGGCTGGTTGCCTTGTATGTAGGGATGCTATAAAGGGTGTTCTCCACGATAACGGATAATTCTAAGGCTTGTGAGGACCAGCAAACCAGCCCGTGACTTCATTCCCTCAACTCTCTCCTCTAAAGCTCGAGCATGTCCAGAGAAGGGCAACGAAGCTGGTGCAGGGTCTGGAGCACAGGTCTGATGGGAGCGGCTGAGGGAACTGGGGGGGTTTAGTCTGGAGAAGAGGAGGCTGAGGGGAGACCTCATCACCCTCTACAGCTCCCTGAAAGGAGGGTGCAGAGAGGGGGGATGAGTCTCTTGAACCAAAGAACAAGCGACAGGACAAGAGGGAATGTCCTCAAATTGTACCAGGGAAGGTTTAAACTGGCTATTAGGAAGCATTTCTTTGCAGAAGGGGTTGTTGGGCTTTGGAATGGGCTGCCCAGGGCAGAGGTGGAGTCCCCATCCCTGGAGGGGTTGAAGAGTAGGGAAGACTTAGTGCTGAGGGATCTGGTGGAGTTGGGAACTGTCAATGTTGGGTTGGTGGTTGGACTGGATGATCTTCAAGGTCTTTTCCAACCTAGACAGTTCTGTGATTCTGTAATTCTGTGAAAGCAAGCTTCTAACTTTAGCTTATCCCTTCCCTTGGCACAGTCCTGATAAACCCTTTCTGAGGGGAAACTGGGCTTCAGGGAAACCTGAAGGGAGGTCACCTGCCAGAAGTGTGTTGATGCCTCCAAGAGTCTCCATTCAAACTCTTCTGCTTGCTGTCCCTACCCAAGAAAACCCTGGGGGAAAAAAGATGGTTTAGACCAAGCTGCAGAAAGTGTTCAGGCACCAGCAGCCTCTTCCCAGCTGCTCTCACCCCAGAGCTCACAGGCCGGTGCGTGGAATAGGTATATACTGCTGGGAAGTGCAAAACTTATTCTGTGTTCCTGAGGTACCAAATTGGGCACAGACAGCAGTTCTGGCACTAGGAGGGATCCTGTGCATGAGCGGATCACAGAAAACTGTCACAGCCATGTGCTCTGAACAAAGCAGCCAGGGTGTGCAGACCTGGTTCAAAAGGGGAAGAAGCTGTATGGCCCATCTGAACAGAAAAGTCAGACAGCCCTATGTTACAGAATAGCCTAATGCTCTTAAGTGCTAATGCATGAGATTTCACATTCTGTTATTTCCATGCTAGTGGGAGTTGAAAATAGTTACGAAGTGACATATCTCCAACAGTAAATATTCATATTACCTTATGCACTGGCCAGAAGTGTAGCAATGCAACCAGTCTTTTTGACAGATACTACATGAAAGAAACAGAACCTCAAGGACTCTCTTAATATGTTTTTCATATGCTCCTGTATGTGTGAAAGTTGAATTCTTCCTCATTTCTAAAAATATTAGAATAGTACGGTGAAAGGTCCCTAGTATTTGCTTTTTTTCACTGGAGGGAACTGAGTAAGGTGGTATAAGACATGTCCTTATACAGGGATAACAGCCTCCCTGTAGGTTGTTAGCTACAATAACAGCCTCTCTGGATGTGGTTAGCTACATTTTCACACACGAATGGTCAATTCAGATTCTAAAGAAAAAGATGCAGGAAGCCTATATGGGCCTAATATTTCTGGACGAAACAAAATCCTGAGTCCTCAAACCTGCATAGCTAATAAAAGGTTTTATAGCAATTTAAAAAAAAAAAAAAAAAAAAAAAAAGTTCCCTTTCACAGATCTTTTTAGAAGGAGACTGGGAATGGTACAAAGTTGGGGATAAAAAGCATGCTTTCACATTAGGAAAAAACGAAGCTTTTCTGAATTCTCTCCACATTCACAACTAGTTTGTTACAATCACACAGCACAAATGGTATGAATCCTGCAGTCTTTACGAGGTCGCTATGCTCAGACAAGCTCATTTTGAAATCAGAGTTTGGCCTGTGCTAAAACTGAATTGCGATCTCTGGATCTGGCCTATTATGATTACACATTCACTTTATAACAGGATCTTTATTTCCAAAAGGTTCGGTGCTATAATAAAATAAATTCTTCAAGTGTTCTGAGACAAAAAATCACTGTATTTCATTTTGTCCAAATATTGCTTAGGGATTTAGCAGTCTTTCCTTTCTGGTCTGAGTTAATGACCAGGTTCAAAGCTTTGGAAATATATACTATTCATCTAACTGAAAGTAAAAAGGAGACCTTCCTGCAAGTTGGGGATGGTATCACTTCCATAATTACACTTTGTTTATCCTCTCGTCCTGCCTTTTCATCTGCCGCAGCTGATTTACAAGGGTCTTTTTCCATTCCTAATCATCCTGCTCCTCCTGCCTGACTCCTGTGGAAAGACCCACAGCCCAACAGTGGTAATGCCTTCATCACTTCCATGCTCATATAAACGGCAATGTCAACAGCCTGGATTGTTATCATAGCAGAAAGCAGATGAAAAAGGAGACAAGGGATTACTTTGGGCCCCCTTTGATTGCTTTTCCTCATCTCCCCTTCCCAAAGCCTTGGAGAGGCCACCTCTCTGCTTTACTGCCGAGCAAAGTCCCTTCCAGGAAGAGGGCTGTGACGCCGAGGGAGCAGTCTAGCAGTGCGAGTGACACCAGCGAATGCTCTGAGAAATGGTTAAAAATACAAGCCCTAAGAAGTAGTGCATATATGGTAAAAGGTTTAATGGAAGGAGTTACTGAATGGAAAGAAAGTGTAGCATCGGTATATATAGCATGAGAGTTTGCTTCTATCTGTTTTTCTCTTCAGTGGTGCTCGCACACCTTTTTAGGAGAGAAACCTGAACATGGGAGCAGAGGGGCGCCTGCACAGGTACCCTCCTCTGCACCTCTGGAAGGGCTGCTCAGGGCTGAGCGAGGGGCTCTGTGCTGGGTCCCTGCTCCCCAGCAGCCCTTGGGGACGGCCACAGCGCAGGAGAGCGTGGAGGG